CCCCCCCCCTCCCCTGACACCAGCTGGCACTCAGTTTCCTGATCTAGACGCTCGGTCTTCACAGAAAATTCAGTGGGTTTCTACGAATGATGAAACCTCTACAGCCTTTTCAGTGGGTAAAAAGCTGTAATCTCAACAAATCATGATGCCTGGCCCCAGAAATCGTCCTTTGAAAGTATGAGCAGACACCAAGGGAAAAGATGCCCACCCCAGCAGGTGGCGCACTGAGTGACTTCAACCCGGGGACCTCCTGGGAAAGGCAGAACCTTGGAGCCAGATGAAGATCATCGCTTGCCAGGGACTGGGGGGAGAGGGGGCGAAAGCACACAGCCAGGAGCTCGCTGGGGTGGGAGGTGGCTGTGGGAGGGAGGGCATGCGTCACGTGCTTCTGTCCACACCCCAGACTGGGCAAGACCCAGAGTGACCCTCATGTTAGCTGTCACCACAGTCACCACTGTGACAAATGCCCCATTCTGCTGTGGAAGGTGGCAGTGGGCAGGGGTGCGGGTGACAGCAGGATGCTGGGAATCAGTGTCACTGCACAGTTAAAGCTGCTGCTTAAAAAAATCAGTTTCTTAGTTTAAAAAAAAAAAGAGTTTTGAGCAGATACAACACAAAGTCTATACGATATACCTAACACAAGGCGCAGCAGTCCCCCACAAGGAATGTATTCATTGGGAACTGCAAGTGTGCATTAATTTAAAGGGGGAAAAAGAAAATCAAACAAGAAGATGTACAAAATCTGTGCTTTCCAGAAGTGTCCAACCTGCTGTGCTGTTCTGCCTTTCTCATTAATCATGTTCCCCAGGTCTTGAAGACAACTTTTATTACAGAAACTGTGCAGCACATCTTCTCAGTCACTTCCCATTACAATGTGGAAGGAAGGACAGAAAGCATAGGCAAACACCCCAGCATTGTCTCCCAGCGTGAGCCGCCCCCTGCTTTGGGAAGATGCAAATAAAGGCCCAGGAGCTGGGCTCTTCAACGTAGGAAACAGGAAACGAGACAGCCCTACCACACCCCGCCTGCCATGGGCGTGACTAAGCAGCGTGGACCTCCACTCCCTGCATCTGAGCAAAACGCTGGTGCTGGGAGCGCCCACCTGGATTCTGCAAGGCTGCACTGGGGCGCTGTGGTTATGGGATGGAGGGGCAGGCTGCGGAGCTATCTGGCCTCGTCTGCTCTGGGTCTGACACCTGCAGGTGTCACTGTTCTGACAGGGTCGTGACCTTGGTGGGAGCCCGGAGTCCGGCCACAGGCCATGGCCCCTCTTCCTCCACCTCACTCTGCTCCTCCCAAGCCCCCTGGCCACTGCGCGCACGTCTCCTCCTGCCCTAAGGAAGCCTCTGGACACGGCTGTGCCACCAGCCCTCTGCGCAGTTTCCAAGGCCTGGGCAGCCAACCTGCACTCTCTGTGCCTCCCTCTGGCCCACCTGTGGGAACAGAAGACTAAAGCAGAGGTCCCCTGAGGGCACCTTTGTCCCCAGGAGCCCCGCAGGCTCCCAGGCAAGCTTGGGGCCACACTGAAAGCCACAGGAGGGGAAAAGGAAAACTTTGTCCTGCAGATGCTGATCTCAACCCCCAGAGGCAGAGCCCCAGGGCTGCAGTGGAGGTGGGGAGCCCACTGCCCCTCCCTGCAGGACCTGGTCTGGCCGCAGTGGCCCCTTCTGCCTGTGTCTCCCTCACCAGTGGGCCCATCTACCTGCCCCGGCTGGGGCCAGGACGGGGCTGCACTCTGCTGCAGACGTGAGGCGGCAGTGTGAGTGACAGCCAGGCCACAGTGTTTCCTTCAAACACGATATAGCAATGCAATATCGAAACTGGACGCCAGTTTTCTGATCTGAACATAATTTACTCCATTCGTTCAGCAGCTGCGAGACAAAATGGCGAGAGGCAAGCTAAGATGAACTCAGGTTTCTTTGAATGTTTAGTTTGCTTAAAACCCGTTCCCTAGGGCCAGGGAGATGGCTCAACGAAATAAGCGCTTCCCTGGCAAGCGCAAGGGTATGAGTTCAATCCTCGGTTCCACAAAAAAAAAAAAAAAAAACCTGTTCCCTTAGCTGCCTGTACTGCATTCAGTGTGCTAGAAGCCTTCGACAGTCAGAAGTTCGACGTGAATCGCGCCCAAGCGTGCTTCCGCAGTGGAGCCCATTTATTCAGCTCGCTGTGCATGCTTAGGTGCGCCGTGCTTTGTGTTCGACAGGGTTGCCAACACTCACGATGTCTTCCAATAAGAAACAAAGATTGTCCTAAAAGCTATTGGCAGCTCAGCCCACAGGAACGACACTTGGGGTGTCATCACACTAGCCATGCTCAGCTCTCTCCCCAACGCCTACCTCTTTCTGTACGTTTCTTGGTCCAAAAGGTGGACTGGCTCCTGGGTTCTTGTTAAGGAAAAGAGCTGCCGAGCAGCAGGTTCCTAGCCCAGAGGAGACGCCCTGGATGCCAACGTCTACAGGGCCGGCGCTTTGGAAGGTAGAGAGCCTGCCATGTCCCACGGGGGATCAGCAAGCCCTGGGCCTGGTAGTTCTAGTGGTCACCATGTGCACAGCTCCTCCATTGTACCCTCAGCCACTCACTGGAACAGGCATCACCCATCCTGGCCAAGGCTCGGAGAGACGGATAACCTGCCCCGGGTCCCTCACCAGCACCCGCATTGCCCCAGCCTGAGCCGACTCAAAGCAGCCACCTGCCGTCTCGCAGACTGTAAGAGTCCAGAGTGAGTCCACGCATGAGGCCCCTGGCCCCGGGGGCAGCAGAGCTTCGAGGTCCTTCAGCCACCTTTCAGAGGACGGGACCCCACACCTCGGCCCCTCCCACCCTGATTACGTGATTCTCCCACACACGTCACAGTTCTCAGCCCTGATCCCCAAGACAGGGTGCTGACCAGTGTCGCCCAGAGGACTGGGCCGAAGGGGACAGCATATGCGTCCCTGGGAATGACCAAGACAGCAGTGGTTCATTCCAAGGGGCGGAGTGCCCTCTACACCGCACACCTCCCTGCTGCAGCAAGCCCAGATAGCCAGGTGCCCCACCAGGCAGCCTGCTCTTTGATGGATGTGCCATAGCAACACAAAAGGGGCCATCTTGGACGGGGGGCCCCAGGCACGGGGACAAGGGAAGCACATTCCAAGAGCAGAGGCAAGGCAAGCAGGAGGCGCAGCCCAGGGCCAAGGCCACTGTGTGGCTTGGCCACAGCAAGGTCCCAGGAGGTCGGAAGGCCTGGCAGTCAGGCTAAGAAAACAGTGCTTTTTTCTGAAAGAAAGCCAGGGATGCTCTGAGAGCCAAGCTCGGGCGAGTGGCCCGGAGCGCCACACCAGCGCCCTGCCCACCTGCGAGGACGATGAGCACCCGCAGAGCCACCACCTCCGCTCTCTGCAGCTTCGCCGCGGCATCCGAGGGCTCCTCCAGCTGCTGGAAGACTCGACACATGTCCATGACACTTGGGGAAAAACAGACAAGGCTGTAAGGAGCGAACCTGAGTGACCTGCTGCGGAGAAGGCTGAGCCAGAGCCACGCGGGGAGCTGCCCCTCGTGCTCTCTTAAACCTGCTGTACAGAAACACAAGAAATTACGGGTGCCAGATCTGGACCCCAGAACGCTTTATTGGCTACTTCAGCTCACGGCACTGAATTTGCAGCCAGTCAGCCCGATTTGCTTTCTCTTCTTGTTCCACTGCCTTGAGATTCGTGGGTGTGGAAACAGTATGCCAGCCACAGAGGACAAAACGCAGCCCCCTAGCACGGCACAGATGGACCACAGAGGACAAAACGCAGCCCCCTAGCACGGCA